CACAAGTTCACAAAGTTTCTGCCAATATTTCGGGTTAATTTATGTGTATTTAAGCTTGGTATTAAGCCCCTATTTATAGAGAATGGGTGCATTTAGGGTTTTGAGTGTTCTGCCGCAGCATGTGTCGCGCGCATTGGAATGGTTTGCTTGCGCCAGCTCAAAGTAAGTGATTTAGATGCGCTAATATGGGCAACGCAACTGAAAGTCTTGCGCTCGGTATTATGGTAAGATTTGATTTTATATTGTTATGAAATTCAGAATCTTTCGCGAGCGCATCACTAGAGGCTGCTCTGGATGTCGCGCGCAACTTTGTGAGTTACGCATGCCTAACCAGCGCGACTCATTGAGATGCGCACAGATTTTCCTACGGCTACTTTAATTTTTAATCTAGGCTCCTTTAAGTTCGTCAAAATTAGGTTTTAACTTTAAAAATTAGTTTCGGTTAGATTCCCAATTGCAAAGTTATCCCTTCGTAATTTTGAGTCACATTCGAAGGATATCATAAAAAGAATATAAAAAAAAGCGCTAAAAAAATAGGCAAAAAAAAAGAAACGATTCTAGAATTAGTAGTGTTGAATGCTCGTTCGAGGACTCCCTGAGCAAGTGGCGAAAATGGTTTCCTTGAGTTTCAAAAATGGTTTCAAAAAGAGGGTTCTTATTTTTTCTTTTTCTTTTTTAAAAATGTTCACAAATAAAAAATGAACGAGCAGGTGGCGCGTGCAACTCACTGAGTTGCGCAGCCACAGTCAGCGCAAGTGCTAGGGTTGCGCGTGCCATCTGCGCACAACTTAGTATCTTGCGTGCGCCTCCTGTTACAAAGCCTTTTGATTCTTCGAGAACAATAGGTACGTACAAACAATATCATTATAAATGAATTGCTAAAAGGTGATGCTATCCGTTTGAATATATATTGTGTCTTTTTTTTTCTTTTCTTCTCCATTTCATTTCAAAAAAAGTGTATCGATTTTCATAATTATTCGTACTTCCTTTAGGGCCGGTTTCTAAGCTTGGGAACGAAGACTTTTGGGCGCTCGCATTCTACGTATACCTTCAAACAATTCACCCATTTCATACATTTTCTCGTCGACAACTCACTCTAGTCCAACAACAATGTGAACCATAGAGCAACTCCAAGAAGAGATTGTTTGCTTAAGAGAGGAAAAGGCTCATGATGCCAAAGAGAGAAGAATCAAGAAATTTCAAAAAACTTAAAAGAAAAATGTCGAAGCTTTGGTTTGCAACAAAAGATGGTTGAATTATCCATAAGAGAGAAGTCGTTAGAAAAAGTTGTTCTTCGTTCGACAACAGGGAATAAGTACTTTGACGTCAAAAAGTTTTCTCCTCCTATATGACTCTCTTTACCAGAAAAGTTCGTAGCTACAGACTTGTCAATATTCAAGGTGACCAATAATCCAATAAATCATCTAATGAGTTTTACTGGTACCATAGCTTTATGCTTTGACACTCCCTTTATCTCTAGACACAGCCGCGAGAGAGTAGAATTATTGTCTAGAAGCTATGTTCAAAACCACATGGGAAGATGTAGTCTCGGCTTTCATCACCCAATATAAGAGTAATGTAGATTTCAAATAAACTTTGCGTGAACTTGAAATGCTAAAGCGAGGGGACGATGAAGGTAACTTTGCTTTCAATGGTAGATGGAGAGAAAAGGCGAATCTTCATGCCAAAAGGCCACTAGAACTCGAGTTGATACAAAAATTCATTGACAATTGTCATGAAAAATGAAACAAACATCTATGTTACCTTAGTTTAGACACTTTTCAAAACGTCTATTATGTGGCTACTACGATTGAAGATAATCTTTCTAATGAAAAGGCTAAAAAGCCTCATCATCATTGACCTAAGAATAAATACAAAAAGGGGGTTGATAACACTTCATCCTCTAATTATATATTTTCGACTTCCATGCAATATAATAGCACAATGTAATATAATGACCCATAGAAAAGGTGGTCAAGAAAAAGAAAATTTACGCAATTTATTGTGAGCTATAAAGAGTTGCTGGAAAAACTAAGTAAAAAAGGATTGCTTGCATCGACATGACCAATGTAAATCTAAAGAAATTCCTAATGGGATGGCGACACCTATTCTGCTTTTCATAGAAGTGTTAGACATGATATTGTACGTTGATTTGTCCTAAAGCTCAAAATTCAAAACTTAGTAGACGATGGAAAAATTCCCATGCCTAAAACTAATAATAATATTTCCCCATTGGGAATATTTCACATTGATGAGGATAATATGAGAAGTGATACATTCGTTCAGTCCTTTGGATTACATCACTCCCATAGAAAATCCTCTAACCACAACACTCATAGGGGAAACTAAAGAAGTGTGGGTTATTGGACGACGAAACAAATGAAATACTTGATTAGGATCATTTCTTAAAGAAATCACAAGATTTATCAAATCTCTCCTTAGATGAAAAATGACATCAAGCACCACTCAAAGAGCATCTTGAAATGGAGACACATTTTAAGCCTCTAGAGGAAAGTTGGTTCATGAACCTCGCAACTGACCCAAACGAGATAGATCATTTAGCTCAAACAAGGCGAGTTTATCAAACACAACCAAATGGTTTGTAACTTATCAAAATAAAGTACCACCTCAACCCAAGCTAGAAGATCCATTGGTTAAACGACTTCGTCAATCTAAGGCGAATGTTAACATTTGGGAACTCCTAAGTACTTCTAAGTAACATAGGAATTCTCTTATGAATTCTTTCACTTCTTTTTCCATATGTACGGTCACATTTCCACATGATCTCGTTAGCTTAGTTACTAGTGAAAAATTTGACAAATAAATCATCTTTACTAGTGATGATTTGCCTTCAAAAGACACTACCCAGAACAATGCATTATATTTTGATGAGTGTCATTTATGGCACTCATTTGACCTCTTTTAGGATGATTTTCATGCTATTTTATAGCCCTTTTCCTTAGTTTTACCTTAGTTTTGTTCTTTATTTCGTTAGTTTGTGCTTTCCATAGTTAGTTTCCTTGTTTTGTGCATTCTTTGTTTATTTGTTCTTTTTCCCTTTTATTTGTTTGTTTTCGTTTGTTTTTAGGTTAAGATCGTGTTTCCAAGGATTCCCGAGCCTTCCTCTCATATTTCTCATCAATTTGGATGCCTCATGTTCGCCTTTCGGAGCTTCAAGTTTGAAGGAACGCAAAGAGCAAGTCAAGAGATCAGTGCACGTATGCGGTGGGGGCGTCATCTTTGCCATGAACCCACCAAAATGGCTCTTTCAAGGCTGCCTTCTTTGGTGTTCATCATCATCATAAAGACGAGCCCACGAGGATGAGCTTGGACGAAGAAAAGGGGGGGCTCCCCTGCTGCCAGGTGCGGGCGCGCACGAGGGTGGTGCGGCCACGCACCTGTGTGGCGCAGTCGCGCCTAGTGCGGGTGCGGGCGCGCCTGCCAGGGCCCCTGTTTCGTACCCTTTTTCCCGCGGCCGCGCCTCTCCTCTAATGTGACCGCGCCTTCCGGGGTTTCTTTTGGGACGATCTAACTAACTCTTCTTTTGTATATTTCCTATATATAGTTTTTCCTTCTATTTTAGGAGGGGAGAGAATTAGAATCAGTTTTAGATAAAAAATTAGAAAGAGAAACTCTAGATTTTAGAGAGAGAATTTCATGGTGGATTGTTGATGATTGAAGATTTCTCCATTTCCTTTGATTTTTGATCAAGTTTGTAAGGATTCCTTTTCTTTAATGCAATCTTTAGTTTGATCTTTAGTTTGATTTGAATTATTTGTTGAATGTTCAAGTTTGATTGAAGCTAGTCTATCCTCTTTGCCTTCTCAAGGAGTGGAACCTAAGAAACACGTTTATTCTATCACCACTAGGAGTGGGAGAGTTCTTAATGAGGGAGCTTCTAGGTCCATTGAGGAGGATGAGGAGAGGAGTGACCGAAGAGTGGAAGTTGAGAAGGTTTATTCTAAGAGTGTGAGTTATGAGGAGGTGCAAGAGAAAAAAAAGAGTAGTGAGAAAGAGCGTGAGAAAGTGCGGAGACCCGACCTTCCATACCCATAAAAATTCTTGAGGTGCAAAATTGTTGAGCAATTTGGAAAATTTATTGCTATGCTCAAGGAAGTTCACCTTTCTATCCCCTTCATCGATGCAATTACCCAAATGCCTAGGTACTCTAAGTTCCTTAAGGAGATTTTGAGTGGGAAGAGAATGTGCAATGAAGTTGATTCAGTTGAAGTTGGGAGTTGTTTTAGTGCTTTGATTCATAATGAGTTGCCTAAGAAGATGGAGGATTCGGGAAACTTCTCTATTTCATGTGAGATCAAAAGGAAAATGTTTAATAATGCTTTTTGTGATCTTGGAGCAAGTGTGAGCGTCATGCCTTATTCCGTTTTCAAGAAACTCAAGCTAGGTGAGCTACTCCCATATAACATAACCCTTCAATTGGTCGATCTTACTATTATGATTCCCAAGGGTAGAGTTGAGGATGTTCCTCTTAAGATAGGAGGGTTCACTATTCCCGTTGATTTCATTGTGTTTGAGATTTCGGAAGATGACCATATCCCTATCATTTTAGTAAGACCTTTCTTAGCCACTTCGGGAGCCTTAATAGATGTGAAAGGAGGTCGTATTACCTTGAGAATTGGTAAGAAAGAGGAAAGCTTTGTGTTGAAACTAATGCATGTGTCTTTGTCTCTTGTGCAAGGAATTATGTGTGCTAATTCCCCTCGCTCTCTTGGTAATGTGTGCATGATTAATTTTTCAACTAACGATGTTTTTGAGAATTGTGATGATGTTCTTTCAAGTTTTGATGGCAAAAAGGTTAATGAAGAGAAAATGATGATTCCCAAGCTTAGGGACGAGGAGGAAGTTGAAATCCCTCATTGCACTACAACAAAATGCTGTGTTATTAGACGCTAATAGCTCAACGCTATCAAAGACCGTCAAATGAATTTAGGAATCCCGTGGTTTGTCGACGCTTTTTGGTATATCTCGTCAACAAAAAGCGTCGAAATGTCTTTGACTTAATCACATGCCATTCACGTGTCATTTCTAGGCGAGGATTTTTTTTTTTCATTTTTTGAAGTAAACATAACCCACTTTCTTGTAACTTCTCAACCCTAGCTGTCTTCTCTCTCATCTATCCCTCCATCTACTCAGAGATCAGCAAAAATTATCAAAAAAATTCCCATCTCAAATTGCTTCTCGTTGTAAATTCATTCGATTTTGTGCTCAAATGGTAGGTTCTTATGCTTGTCTAACCCCAAAACATTTTCGCAGAAGAAAAAAAGTCTCTTTTTTTTTCTGAGTATTTGCTTTATTATTCAACATCGAGCTATTTGGAAATTTTAGAGGATCTGAGTGTTTCGGAACACTAGCACCACATCAAACCATCATTTTCATGTGGGTACGATATATCTCTTTTCCCTCTAATTTCCCTTTTGTTTTCTTGCAAATTTTTTGTGTTATTAATCGTTTATTGTATTGAATGCAAATGGGTATGTTTTCATGTGTTAATTTATTTTTCAGTTCATTAATAGATGAATATTTTAATTTGAAGGTTTATTGAATTCTTGGTTTTTTGAGCATATGTTTGACTTCTATATATGTATTTGCAACTCCTTTATTTTTTTTTTAATTTTTTTAAACAAAGCAACTCCTTTGTTTTTAATCCTTTTGTATTCCGTATTACATAAAAGAAAAAAAAAAGTTATCTCCTAACTTTAATTTGTCAAACAATTGATGTTTTACTTTACTCCTATGTTGCAAGAATAGTCTACGAGTATACTAAAATCAACATCATTATTTGTTTCCACTTTATAAAGTGATTAGCTAATGGTCCTTTTTTAATAGCTACTGGGTATACGAAGCCTATATATTTTTTGGACTCTGTTTCATTATAAATTAGTTGGGATTGCACACAGTAGCAAAATTAAATGACGAAATTTCCATTTTATAGTTTTTGGAAAATGTTATGATTTGCTTATCTCGTATTCATTTGGGGTCTCTTGTTCTGTTTTTATTTTTTTTTACTTGTTTTCTCTTTGTATTAGATGTTGTTGTGACTTATCTCCTTATCCTTTATTTTGTAAATGATGATTCTTTTTAAATATTGACTATGTTGTCACCCCCAAATAAGTATGGCTTCAAGAATTTTTGTATGTCATTGTTGTGAGGCCATATTCCAGTTTTAAAGTTTTGTTATTGATGAGCTGTAGAAATGAAAGTTGAAATAAGAATTTTAATTAATCTTACTTTCAATCCTATATCCTCCCTTTCTTAGTTGTTTTTTTCAAGGTTTATAGTTCAGTTGTATTGATAATGAGCAAAGAAACAAAGTTAGTGAGCTGCTAGTACTAACCTTCCTCCTATTTTGGTTTTAGTGTGATGTTGCTTGAGTTGGGATATTGCCATTTTAAAAACTAATCATCCACTATGGTTTTGAGCTTGTGATCTACTTATAAATGGTATATTCTAAAGGATAAGAGTTCATGGTCATATGAGAATAAGAGTCATATTTTCTAAACTAGTGAATGTAAAACTCGCCTATTGTTTCATATTGTAGTTGTTATAGACATGTTCTATAGTTGAAATATACTCGAACATAAGGCTAATTAATGAACCACAAGGCATAAAAGAACAGTATGCTTTCTTATCAATGAATGAATAAAAATAAACTAATAGTTATGCCTGGTTTTATCTTAATATATCTACCTTTTGTTTTGCAATTATATATAGACTCAAATATAGGTTCATTGCATTCATCCCCCCCCCCCCTTCCTTTGCTTCCTTGCCTTTTCTGCATGGCATTTAGAAGTGGGGGACGGTGATTAGATGCTAAGTTACCATGTCATTAAACTTGTTCTACAATTGGACTTTAACCTGTAGGACGGTTTTAAACTTGTTAATATCTCTTCCTGGATCCTCATTTGATATTCTTATTCCATTGGGTGTTTACTATTATTTCTATCAAACATTGAAGGATAAAGCTGAAGTTATTTCTCTCTACCGCAGGAAGAAAGAAGACTTGGGATGGATTTATTTGCATGTTATCATCATTAATCGTGGCTGCTATGTCAGGGTGATTACTTTTCTAATTTTGTGCTTATATTTCATAATTTTGTATTATGATTATCTCTGAATTAATTATTTGAACTTGTTTCCTCAGATTTCAAGAAAACAATGACAGTAATTGGAATGGAAGATTTTATATACACGAGAACAACAAAGTCGAGCGTGTTTAATTATTACCTACAATTGATTTTCCAATAATTAGTGATCATTATGAATTGCCAACCTTTAAACTCTAGAATAATGAGTTACTTGGGAAACAAAGTTGATGACTCAATTAGTATGTCAATAAATGGAACTACTGGCTTCTGGTCAAAAGAAATGACGTCAACTGAGACAGAATCAACAGGTTAGGGATTTTTTTTAACGAACAACCTTCCCTTAGCTTCCTCACACGCTTGATGATCCTCTTCCTCCCACAATATCCAGACACAATTAAGAATTCTACACCTCGTCTCCTTCCTCTTCCCCTTATCCCACCACAAAATTAAAAGACCTAAGAAAACATGTACACAACTTGGACATCTTAATTGATTTACTTGACCTCACACAAGTATCCCTCAGTCTTTCTTGAGTTTCTTGTATTGGTGACGAGCACAATCATATTAAATTTGTGTTTCGTTTGGTTGAAAACTTGAATCTTGGCAACAACAATTCAAAGTGATAAGATTTTGTAATGTAGAAGAAAAATCTTATGGATGTCCTAATTTTCATTTTTTTTTCCAACAGACATTAGAGACTTTGAAATTCCAACAATTTCGTTTATTGGCCCCTCAATTAAAAATTGAATCCATATTGATAAGGTTGGTTGCTGTAGGTTATCGCTGCTGCCCGTTGGTTGTTGCAGAAATTTATGGTTGCTCGATGGTGGTGGTGGTGGTGGTGCTGCTGCTACTAAAAACATCTTGCATATAAACCATTATATATATTGTGTATAAACCATTGTAATTTTTTAATTTTTTGGTAACAATATCGGCATTTATAAATGAAAATTTTCAATATTATGCATGTATAAATGTTTGTATCAAGTTAAGGTAAAAAAAGGCAGGAAAAAAAAATATGCAATATAGGCGCTGGTTCCACTGCAAACCAATGCCAAAGTGACAAATAAAAAAAATAATAATTCTCGACGCTTTATTGTGTAGAAAATTGAGGTTAAAATTAAATTTTCCTATAGAAAGTGTAGACGTAAAAAAGCGTCGAGAAACTGGGGACACCAGAAAGTGTCGCTAATTGATACGTCTTAGTAGACGTAAAAAAGCGTCGAGAAACTGGACGCCAGAAGTGTCGCTAATTGATACGTCTTAGACAACAAAAAGCGTACAAAGTTAGGAATCGCGACATTTCGTATGAAAAATTGGACAATAAAAGGCGTCAAGAATCTCGACGCTTTTTGGCGACATGCAAAATTTTCGACTCACTTATTTTCAACGCTTTTTAGAAGCATCGAGAAATAAATTTATGACGCTTTTTAGCATCGATAATTAGTAGTTTGGTTTGAGCTCTATCCTCAAGATGGAGAGGATGTACCCATGAGTATGGATGGTGAGGAACCATCTACAATAAGCAACAAGCCGAAGAAAAAAGCTCGTGATTCTAAGAAGAAGGAAGAGAGAAAGAAGTTAAGGAAAGAAAAATTTGAAATTGAAAAGTCTTTGAAGGAAGTTTCATCAAGCAACAACAAGAGGTTGCTAGAAGTTGAAAAAGAATTTGCTCATTCCGCTACCTTGAAGAAGGTGGTGTGCTTTGACCCTCCATGATTTAAAGGAAGGGTCGAGCTTAGGACTATAAGCAAGCGCTTATTGGGAGGCAACCCGGAGATTTCTAACTTTTCTTTTTGATTTTTGAATTTCTCTTATTTTCCCTTCTTTTATTTTCTTTTCTTTCACTTTTCTACTTGATTGGATTTGTAGGTTGCATTTTTGGGATTGGATTTCATTAAGTGAGCATGAAGATTGAGAAGGTGTTTTGCGGTTTTTGATGAGACTATACTCGATTTTATCAAAATTTGAGGTAAAAGGGTAAGAATCTTGGTGAGGTAAGTTAGGGATTTTGTGCTTTAAAGTTGAAGGAAGTTTGCACTTGGTGGGTTATTATGGTGGGTTCTTGAAATTCTAGTCTTAAACCCACCAAAACGGGATTTTTCTACTGCCTATATGTTGGTGTTTATCATCATCATTATTCGTGTACCCACCAATGAACGCACCAAGAACTTAAAAAAAAAAAGAAGAAGAGAGAGCTTGGCTGGGCTCAGGTGCGGGCGCGCACGCACTTGGAGCGGCCGCGCACCTGGCTGGTGCGGGCATGCATGCACTTGGTGCGGGCGCGCATCAGCCCGTGCCCCCCTCCTTTATCTTCCTTCCTTCCTTTCTTCTTTCGTTTCCCCTTATTCCTCCTTCATAGCTTCGACCCCCATCATCCTCAAACCCTCAAGACCGCACCACTCACTTCAACAACTCATCAAAATTTCAACTCAAATCACTCAAATTTTCACTCCAAATTCACTAAACCCTTCTACATTTTCATCCAAATCATCAAATTCATACTACTTTCATCAAATTTAACCTCCAATCTCTCTCATCCATACTTGGGTATCATTTGGGGTTTTCCTATTTGGTGGTTAAAAGTGGTTCAATCTTGCTTCATATATGGTATAATCATCTTCTCTAGCTTTTAATTGCTCAATTATGTCATATATTTGCATGTTTTGATTTGTTCATGAGCATGAATAGTGGTAGTACCAACTTTGTTGATTTTGATGATTGATATTGGTTTTTGGTTGATTATTTGAGTTGTTTGTCGTTTGATTTTACCTCACATTGTGGTGTTTAATTTGTTGATTTTGTAGCATTTGTGAGAAATTTTGTTGAGAATATTTGAATTTGAATTTTGGTAGTGTGGGTAGTAAGGGGCTATTGTGGTATTGGTGGTTCTTCTTGTGATTGTTGATTGTGTGGGAAGAAATTTTTGGATGTTTGGTGTTGTTTGGTAATTTGGATTGGATTTGTGATTTGTGGATATTGAAGTTCTTGGTTGGTGATTTTGCGAATTGTTGTGGGAATTTTGTGATTGGTTTTTTGTGATCCTTGCACTTGAAATTCATCATGTCGAGAGTCCTCAAAAACCTTGTTAAGAAACGCAAAACAAACACCTCCACTGATGAACCTACCCCAAGCACATCAACCTCCCAAACAAACAACCCTACTCCACCACCCAAAAGAAAATTCCACGATAAAAACACACGAACCGGTACCATAAATTAAAAGAAAATCGCTCCCTTAAGCCCACAAGACACTACTTCCAATCCGACATGTCCGCATTGGGGATTGATGAGGATTTAAGGGAGTTGTTGATCAACCTATCAATGGGCACATTCATCTCCCGTAGCTACCGCACCTATGTTGAGCCCACTCTCAAATTCTTTGCTTCGGTTGAGATAGTTCCCGTAGAGGGTCAATATAGGGTTCAATTCCAAATTTTCAACAACTTCTTTGACCTCTCCTTGGAGAAACTCAATGCCGCTCTAGATTTTGATCCTCATGGTGACATCTTGGATCTAGAGCCTTATAATTTTGAGGAGTATGATCAGGATTCTTGGTGGGACGATATCTCCGGAGGTGGTGAGTTTGTCACCAAGCAGGCCAAGATTAGAATTGTCTACCAACCTTGTCTGCGGGTTGTTCACCGTCTTTTAGGGTACTCGGTTTTCCCTAAGCAGGAGTTGGGAAAAATGAGCAAATTGGAGCTCAAAATTCTATGGTTGGCCACTAGAGGAGAATATCGTGTCCGGTTGAACTTGGGGTACATCTTTGCAACCTATTATGTAGCCTTGCAAGACTGGGACATCGAGGAGATTCCTTGTGGGGGGAATGGTCACTAGGATCTTGACCAACCTCCACCTTGATCATCATTTTCCTTATTACAAGCCGGTTGGATATGCCGACTCCGTGTACCTTGATATGAAACAATTGGGGCAAATTCAATTTATCTCCAAGCGTTTTGAGGAGGGGAATTATGAGTGGCTTCGGGATAACAAGCATTGGTGCTACCTTCCCAAACCGTCTTTGACATCTCTCCACCGGATGGATACCCCTAATGTGTGGCATGTCCCCAAGAGCTTCCGTCGCTCATTTTTTTACTCCGATGAGGAAGAAGAAGAAGAAGAAGAAGATGAGGAAGAACAACATCCAAAACAACAACAACAACAACAACAACGACAACAACAACAACAACAACATCAAGGGCAAACGCAACAACCTCAATTTTTTAGCTCCGACTTGGAGGCCCTTAGTAACCAAATGACTGGGTTACAAATCCGCATGGAGAGCATGTATGACCAAGAGTTTGAGGCCCTCTACTCCCAAATGCGAGGTATTTCCGAAATACAACAAGGTATGTTCATTCAACAACAACAACTTTATGATGCGGAGGTTAACCGAGGGAGTATCATACCCCCGGTTAGCTATCCTTACTTTCTGCCCCAGCAAGGTCCTATACCTTCGTATGGGCATCCTTATTGGCAAGGGCCTGTAGAGCCCTGTACCGAGACCCGTTCTTACCTAGACGAGCGTGGTTAACTACGATTACCGTGCTCCCGGAGGGTGTGACTATAGGGGTGACCCTAATTACCCCTATGTGCACCCTAACCATCCATTTGAGCTCACCTTGCCCGAGAAATTCACACCTCTTGCCCCTTGGCAACAAGATAACTTTAAGGGGCATTATGCTTGGCCTAAGGGATTCACCGGAGGTTGGGCTCCTTACTCACCCCCAACCTTCGATGACTACATGGGCAACAATGATTCTAATGAAGCCGGGACAAGTGGTGGTGTTAATGATGAGTCTTAGTTCCCTCTCTTTTGTGCCTCTTACCTCCATCCCTTATGTTTATGTTCTTGATTTGTATTGTTGGGATGTTGAGATGTATTCATGTTTAGCTTGGGGGAACTTCTTTGTATTTCGGTTGCCAATTTGTTGTTGTTTCTTACCTTGTATTTTATTTGCCTCTTGCATGATGGTTTCCTTGTCTTGGTCTCTAGTCTTGTTGATGCTTGTTGCTAGTCCCATGAGTTTGCTTTGTCATTGTTGTTGTGATGATTTCCTTGTGATGAGGTTGATTGTTTCTTGCTCCCTTATATCCAAAACCCTTGAATCCAAATCCCTTTGAATCCAAATCCCTTTGAATCCAAATTTTGTAGTTAAGTGCCTTTTAGTTAGTTAGTTGTTTAGTTGTTTACTTAGTTTTTCTTTACTTTCCGTTTTGGTTTTTGTTAGTCTAGTTTTGCTCAGTTATATAATGTTTTTGTTAGCTTTGTTTAATTTTACTTTTTACTAACCTTTTTCTTTGTTTATAGCTTCTTTTACTTTTCTTGTTCTCACATGGCTTTTTGATGATGCTTACGATTTTGGAGCGCAACGATGGTGGTTCTTTCTATCGCCTTTGTTTATTATGCTAAGCATGGATTGCCCGGTGAGACGTTTTTAATTTTTCTCTCTATTTTCTTTGGATGCATAGATTAGGTTTAGTGTAGGGGAAGTCGAACGGTTTGAGGATGATTGCTTGTTAACACGTAATGTGTTTGGGAAAGTTGACGATGTTGTCATTCGACCACTTGTATGTCGATTGGGATATATGTGTTTAACTCGCTTTCTAGTTCCTTTCTCAATTTTTCCTATTCTTTATTTATCTATGGCTCTCCTTTTCTTTTCTTTTCCTTTTATTTTTCTTTTCCCTTATTTTTACTTTGTTCCTGTCTTGATATATGGTTTGCTTTTGAGGCTTATTTTTCATTTTTGTTTTCCTTATGAATTGGACTTTGTACATTAGACATTGTCTTTTGCATGAATTTCTTCCTAGGTAGTAAAGGTATGCACGGTTTGAGACTATGCTTGGTTGAATCTAAGATAGGTGTATGCTAGGGTAGTTGGTTTGAACTAGGAGGATCATGAAGTCAGATTCTACTTGTTTGTGGCATGTTGGTAGTTGCTCCCTATAGTCGATTTGACACCACTAGTGAGTTTTTGCTACATCCATGTGAGTTCATCGTTTTTCAAGCCTTCAACCTATGAGCGGCGTGGATCCTTGACTATTGCAAACCTAATCCATAAAGCTTGATTTATGATTCTTAAACACGAGACCGAGCTATATAGGGAGGACAGAGGCACATTATTCGGGGTGGTATTTTTCATTTTTTAGG